AAAAGGAAAAAAACAATATCTCTGATAATGCTCCTTATTTTACTTTTCTTATTTCATTATCTTTGCTTTGGAATTCTCCAGTTTCGAGCTCTCTGTTGCTGAGGGTTAGCATCGATTCTGTGTAGAATATTTATGTGTTCCAGTGCGTGTGTGCATTCTCTACATGTACCATTGGTATTTGTGGATATATAAGCACTGAAATGAACGCCTAAACCTGTATAAATGAGTCTGTAAGCAAGGAACACAGCGGTAATTTGTAACTCAAATAAAATTATATGACAACACATCTATTCAAGATAAAGAAGTACAACCCTGATACAATTCATAACCAGCAAATTACCTTGTGGACGATAGTAAATTGATGTAGCTTGAGTACTCGCGTACAAGCAAACAAGAGCAAAAACGCCAGCCAAAATCTTCGTCGCTCCCATCTTGTGCCTTTCTAGCGCAGTCAAACCCGAAGTGTGTTTCCCTGTAGAAATCTTCAACCTTTTATAGGTCTGGGTTTTGATAATTTTGCTTAAAATAACATTGGCAATTTCCATAGGAATGGATTGTGTTGGCAAAAAAAGCCACGGTTGCTGTAGTAACCACTCTGATCACATTATTAAAGTTATTTTAAAAATTTTCTTCTTTTTTGTTCTTTTTTATATACTTTACTTTATTTTATATTTCTAGAGATATTACATATTTACTTAATATTGACAATTACTCTTTATTATATTATTATTACAATTTTTCTTGTATATTTCATCGATTCAGGAGACGATATCGAAAATTGCCATGATTAATGGCATTTGATATTACAGCCATTCTCAATCACACGCGCCCTCTAGCGATTGATTCTGTCGCGACGAAGAAGCTTTTGGTGGACATCAATCAAGGCGTTTCCATGACACTCTGTAGGCACGTGCTCTTATAGTTTTGTGTTTTCCGACAATGTTATGGAAACGCCTTGTGATTGGGGTCCACCAAAACCTTCTTCTTCGCGACAGAAACAATCGCTAGAGGGCGTGTGTGATTGAGAATGGCTGCAATAAGAAATATCTATTTTAGGCTTGGTTAAAAAAAGACCAAATCTTTACAGATAAAATAAAAAGAGTTCTAAAATTATGTAGAAACTGTATTAAATGGACGTTTTATTAAATAACCAATGCCAACTAAGAAGAAAATATGTGTAAAGCAACTGATTCAAATCAAATTAAGGCAATTTGTCTCAAGCGGTCTAGACGTATTCAATTAAAATATATTGCCCGTAGTAAAAAAGTCTCGCCACTACAAATTAGCTTTGCCAACACTCGAAACATCATGAGAAAAAACGCCAACCGGTTTGTTTTGTTGGCTCAGCATAGGACTTTCGTGTGGGAGGTCGTGGTTTGAGTCCCGGCCGAACCAACACTTAGGGTCTTTAAAAAAACTGAGGAGAAAGTGCTGCCTTTGTAATTACATCTGCAAATGGTTAGACTTTCAAGTGGCTCGGATGACCACTTTTAATGGCGGTCCCGTCTCTCCATACTCACCATTACTAACCAACATCGGAGTGACGTTAAAGGGCCACTGAGGACGAAAAGAAACCTTGGCAGTGACCACCCTCAGTGCTTACACCTCATACTAACCATTTCTCATGCTTGTAAATTGCATAAAAAGAAGTCTGAAATTCACAACTCCATGTAAAGCGCCTTTGATTGTATCCATATAGAAAAGGCGTTATATAAATCATAAATCATCATTATAAAATAATGGCCGGTAGTGAAACATGATAAAACTCAGCTTTAAGGAATATGAAGTGCACAACTCGATTGCAAATATAGAGGCAGCAAAACTAAATTTTCCAAATTGAACGTTTGTTACATTTTTTGAAGGCGTATCCTTAATTTTATTTCTTATTTTCTAAATATAGATTTAGCTAATGTTTCCATGCCTGTAGGAGTGATCTACAAAAATGCTGGCTGAGGCAATTAACATTTAAAAGTAAAAAAAGTTGCTATACCAACCGGGGATCGATGTTTTAGTATTAAAATATTATTAAACGGTTTTCGTGATATTAGCCTAATTTTCCTCCCTGATAATGCAAGGTCTATTTTGGTATATATGACAGAATGCGAGCAACGCCCACAATCTGCATTACTTAGCGTTATTGAGTAAGCACGAAGCAAGTATATATTGCTATAGAAACGAAGTTCGTGATTATAGCCTTAATGTGTAATTTGCGACAACACAAGGTCAACTAATATTTCAAGTCCGCACAAATAGTTCCCGTCCAGTCCTCATTGTCGGCTTTGAAATGTCTTCGGGAGGTTATTTGTTTAGGGGAATATTTACCGACACGCGAGTCTTTCTTTTTTTTTTTTTTTTTTTTTTTTTTTTTTTTTTTTTTCATTTTTCCTTTGTTTCTCTCTTTTTATCACCTCTGCTCCCGTATTTTTTCTTACTCTTTTCTTTTCTTCTTTTCTTCTAGTTTCTTTTTTCTTTGAGCACATAAGACTTGTTTTGCTTGGAGTGGACAAAGATTATAACCGAATATTTATGGGAATATAGTAAGTTTTCCAGGTTTTATCACTAGATACTAAACCTTATCTATTACGTTTTCTGAGAACCAAAGAACCAGGAGAAAACCTCTCGTGTCAAGGTGGAGAACAACACATCAATCAAACTCAATGCACATGTGGAGTCCGCAGGGCTCGAACCAGCGATCCGACCCGTTGAACTCACAGCGGTGAAAGACAACGCATTAGCATCATAAGCCACGAATGCCACCCATCCTCTCCCCTACCTCCCCTCCCCTACATTTATATGAGTACGAAAATTCATTATTCCAGTAAAAACGGCAAGAGGGTTATCAAAAAGCGATCATTTAAAAAATTCAGCTCGGAAAAATTTATTAGTGACCTAGATCAGCAAAAATGGTGCGATATTGCAATGTTGACTGATCCTAACAAAATGTGAGATGCATGGAAAAGTTATTTTATGAGTTGTTTAGACAAAGATATTTGCGAAGTAAAAATCAGAGAACAAAGCGTGACCACCGCGGTTCCAATTTCAGAGGCATTTAATTCTCATTTTACAAGTATTGGCGAAAAGTTAGCCAATGAGATACCTAGAACTGATATTAAACCAGAATGTTGTATGAAGCGTACAGATAAAAAGTTATCCTCCCCTTCCCTACCTCCCCTCCCTCTCCTACTGCGTATTTTGTACGTTTGTTAGTCTGTTAGCTCTATCCTCTACGAGGATAATTCAAATTGGACGTCATATTTGCATTCGGTCTATGTATTATCATAAAATCGGATCGGATTTTTTCCATGCATGCACTTATAGTATTTTGGTCTTATTTGACCTGCGGTCGCTCTCCTTATTTTATTTTATTTTTTGCTTCACATATTCCCTTCCCTAGCCTATGTGGTTGTTAAAAGACCTTGTCCACAGTAGGGGAACTACAGTTGCAACAGATGGAATCATAAACAGCGCGCGAGTTACTTCACTTTGCTTAATGTCTATAAGGGGGTTGGGGAGAGGGTGAATCCGCTTGCAAGCTACCCTTTTTGGAAGTATGAATGAAGAGTAGCATCTCGTTATGCTAATCGCTCTGAAATTTCTGCCGAGTCGGGCCGCACCTTTTGAGCATATTTTACTTGGGGTTTTTAGAACAGTTTTCGTATGAGTGGAAACCCGGTACTGACTTACGGTAAGTATACGATACGACTTGCCGTAACTTTGAATTGGCTTCCGATATCGTATTTTTAGTAATTCATCCAATTACAACGCGTTGTTACGGTTATGGCAAGGTACGGTTACAGTGCGGCAGCTCTAGAGCAGTTTTCGCATGACTGTGAAAAGCTCACGCCACGAACCATAGTTAACGGAGTGGACGAACACGGTCGTGACACGACAAGGCATACGCAAGACCAGTCACATTGCACGAGAATTTCCTCCCCATCCAATCAAATGCTCGAAACAAGGCATAAACAACACAGAGCGGACACGGTCATGACAAGGTTTTAGCACTGCCAGACCAATAATCACATTGCAGGGAAAAAAATCAGCAATCAAAATTCTTGAAAACATCACGGTCACGGTCACGCTCATGCTTTATAGTGGCCAAAGTTAAAGACTTAGAAACAGATAAAATACAAAAGGACGCACGGCACTGCTGAATTGATTTAATACCTTTTATTCCTTAGTTTTTTTTCCAAAGACTTCATTATGTATTAATAAATGACAAACTAAATCAGCTGAGAATCTTGTTTTACAATCTAAAAATTAACGATTAGCAACTAGATGTGTTTTCCCCATGTAAAAGGTACGCTTGGATCCTGAAAATATAATAGAATACCCCTTCAACAAATTGTTTGCTATACTCTGTTTCTGTAATTCTGATGCTTGTTGATAAAATAAGGGATAAATAAGGGAAAAAAAGACAAAGAAACAGACAGACAGACAGATAGTAAAACAATGTGTTTTTATCACTCTATCTTTGTATATACCTTGTTTTATAACACTGTAGACTTCAACAGCTTGTTTAATACGCTGGAGGTTGAGTTGGTGCTATAGAGAGAAAAAACGTGTTGGGTAGGAAGCAAAAACAAAATACTCAAGGGAAGAATCTTTGACTGTAATAGGGAATGAATATATGGTGTCACAAAAATTATAGAGCTTTTAAGAGTGACGTTGACGTTGATGGAAAAACGACTTTATAAACGAAAAGGAGTTTTATAAAGATTTTTCTTATTTTTCCTTTGTGACCAGATCTAGTCGTTGCCCAAAGTTCTAATTATTTCAGGTAGAAGTTAATTCATTGAGAACATTTTCTGCTTTGTTTTAGTGTTTGCTGTTAGCAATTGGGCCCGGAAATATGTCACAATTTAAAAGCTTAATTAGTCAAGGGAACGAAATCTAAAATGGAAAATACAAATGGCGTCACACTTATTGCACGCACTTATCGCCTAGAACTTTGAAATGGGAAAGTTAATGTACTCAAAAGTAAAAGAGACCCTTTGCGTTCGGCGCACTATGGTTTCCACTCCACAACCTCACTTCCACTTCCCTCTTCCCGTATCTTTGCTTCTCTAACAAATTAAAGGCCCTAAATGAGCTCCTCAACTCGTTTTCTTACCATATACACAAGGTGAAGGTGGTGGACAGTCCCTGGTCTGAGTTGCAGCACCAGCACCTCCTTCGCAATCCTTGCCTCCGCAAGATGGCGCTGGATTGTTACATTTGCGGGTCCTGGACTGTTTTCCATCTTTGCATTCACTCCAGCTGCCATAGTAACTCCATTGTCCATCAACTATAACAAATTTAAAATACATTATAATAGGATTTTGGATAATTTTGGATAATAATAATTTTGGACATTGTTTTGAAAAGGGGTGACAAAAAGATTTAAAAATTGTAAATATTTTTTTAAATAGAATAGAATTTTTTAATAGTTCTAGTTAAAACTTTTGGATGTTCTTATCTTCATCGATTCATGGTTCTACAACCTCTAGCTGTCTGGGTTTTCGCCGAATTCCATTTAATAGAAAATTGAATTAATAGGTCAAAACCTCAAGAAAACCGCCACCGCCACTCCATTGCCTCCCTCCCCCCCTCCCCCGACACACACACCTCGAATCCCTCGCATTCCCTCCCTCGACTGCCTCCAACTCTCTTTCCCCAACCCAATTCCACCCCCTCCTCCAAATAAATTTATTACGTAATAAAGAACGGGAGAAATTTTTACTTTTACACAAATTTTTATCTTTACACAAACCTGGGCAACATTTGTCGTTGCAAGCTTGGGCTTCTACTAAAGTTCCAACGCAGGGTTTGCCACCATATTGAGGAGCTGGGTTGGTGCAGGTACGGTACTTCAGCTGGAATCCGCCACCACAGGATCTGGAGCAATCTCCCCAGGCTGCATAGTCACTAAAACCACCATCAACTGCAAAAGAACAAAGAATTTATACATGAGATAAAATATATTTTCTTCCTTTCTTCCTACTCCTGTTTTTCCTTCTCTTACCTTTTCCCATACTTTGCTCTTCATTACAACGTTTTTTTCAACGTTTTTTCTCTCTTTTTCTCTTGCCTTTTTTACTTTTCTATTTTCATTTCCTCCCTACATCAATATTCTTTTATTTCCAAAGTTACTTGTCTTCGCTCCTTCCTTATTATTCACTTCGTTCCTTGCTTCGTTACTTCATTGATCGTTCCTTTCTTCCGGCCTTCTTGGTTCATTCGTTCCTATCTCACTTTCTTCCCTCCTTCCCTTCTTCCTCCCTCCTTTCTTCTCTCCTTCCAGTAACAATTCTTTATTAATCAAGCAATACTAAAAATAGCACTATCTACAAACCTGGGCAGTGTTCTAAAACGAAGCAAGATTTTGTTTCTGTGTTCGGTCCAGAACAGGCAGCTCCGCCACCCTGTGGAGCTGGGTCACAGACTCTTGTTCTGCTTTGTGAGGACTGTCCACATGACTTGCCACATGCACTCCAGGCTGACCATTCGGAATATTTGCCATCAACTACGAGACGATGAAGATATTCATATCAGTATTCAATTGAGTCATTATCTTATACTTAAAATATTACGACAGAATAAACAGACAACCAAGAAGAGTAAAAAAATAAAGAATAGGAATGTTCTCGCTGCACGATGGAAATTAGTTTTTGATTCCGTCAACCAAACATGGAAATACAAAAGACTTCACACTTTTTCTCGATAGAATTCGAGGCATTTCTTTTGTGTTTCCGTGTTAGCCACTTATTCAAGACAATTATATGAAGGGTTTATTTGCAGTCTAAGTTCCACTTAATTTCATAATGGAACGAGACACAGGTTTGTTAGTCACAGGCTATCACTGCCTACCCTTTAATTTAATTTAAGTTAATTTCGCATGTTAGTTAGTCGCATGTGATGCTTGCGAAATTCAAGAATCAAACCTGAGTCCCCAAAAGCGAGAGGCGAGTACACTATTGCTACACAACTGTTGATTTCCAAATTGGAAAAAAAAAAACATTTTAAAACTTACTATCGTTATCTTCAATGTTAATGACAGCAACGCCATTTTCAACAGTGGCTCTAGGATCTGATGTTGTAAGAACAAGTTTGAATTTTTCTGGGCCTTCTTCTGCATTATCATCAACGATATTGACGGTCACTTCTTTTTCCAGTTCATTGGCACCAAACTTGACACCTAAGTCTGTGATCTTTTCGTAATCAGCTGGTGCAATGGCTGATACATCTTGAGTGTTCAAACTGTGCGAAGAAAAACAAAAAGTCTTAAAATCACTACGCTGGAACTTCTGTTTTTTTCGGACATCCTATTAAGGACACTCAATTTCCTTCTCATATTTCTCATATTTACCGTAAAACAAACTTTTGAAGCGAACGAAGTTAAGGCCAAAAGAGGTTCGTTGTGGACCTCTTATTAAGAGACACTATTCGCTAAATGGCAGCTAGTTGGAAGGCTAGGAAATGTTCATTCCATATGTACTGTAACACAAACTTTCATTCAGAGGACACTCCATATTAAGGAGACACCAGGCAATAGCTGTTCACTTAATAGATGTACCACATGGTTTGTTGTTTACAGCCTAATTTGTTCTGAGTAAATATTTTCACTGATAAAAGTAGTAGCGATAGAAACTCTTTGGAATTCCGCACACACATGAATATTTTCCGCAAAAATGGAGTGACGAGCGCTACCGTATTACAGTGTTTATTCTACCGAATGTTTGTGAGTTCTAAGGTTACAGCGTACTTACATAGCATTGTGTTCGAAGGTTGTTGCACCTTTTCTGGTAATTTTAACTGTCAATGAACCAGCAGTTTCTAAGACGCAATACTGTGGCTGTTCTATGCTGAACACGGCTAAGAAAGAAAATGACAAACGTTCACACTTGTTACATGAGCATTACACAGCATGCGCACGGCGGGGCAATATTTTTTACTTTTTAGCAGCATGAACGACTTATCCCTCGTGCTCCTTTTTCCTTCCCAGGTGAGGTTACAGACACTCGAGGACCCATCTAAATAGCCTTTCCCACCCCCTCCCACCCGAGGTTTTTGCAGTGAGACGCGTATCACATAATTACCTTTTTGTGCATATATAATTTCTGCAGAGTACGAAGAAATTAGTTTTCATCATTTAACGTAGCCCCAGTTTACAAGGCGGAATTAGTCGCAATTGATAAAGCAAAAGTCACACTGTAAATTTCTAAACCGTCAAAACATGATCTTACCATCATCATCTATAATCTTAATGGTAGCAACATCTGGAAGAATCTTTGTTACATCAGTGTCTTTCGTGGTCATCTTCACGGTGAAGCTCTCCAGACTTTCAACAATGTTATTGTCAACGATGTTTACCTTGAAGGATTGGATGCTCTCTCCAGCCAAGAAAGTGACAACGACGTCTTCAAGAGGAGTAAAGTCACTGCCTTCAGAAGCTGAGTCTGGAATGGTATTCAAGCTGCAGACAACGAAACAAACCTATAAACAAGTCTTTTTGATTTCAAATATTTTAGTGGCTGTAATAGAGTTTTCAGTTTATTTTTGGTTTGGTGGTGAGTTGGTTGGTTTGTTGGTCGGTCGGTTTGCCAATTGGTTGTCCGGCTGAGAAATCGCAAGGTGATTAGTTTTTGATTGATTCGTTTTGATTGTGGGAGATGTTTAATGGCAGGTTTGTTGATTAGTTTATTGGTTGGCTAGTTGATTGGTTGATTGGTTGGTTGGTCGGTCGGTCGGTCGGTCGGTTGCTTCGTTGCTTGGAATTCTTTAATTAATTAAAGGTGTTCATCCTCTTAACTTACATGACTTTAGTAACTCCTTTGAGGTTTCCAACCCTATAGACTTTGACAATGACGTATGGCTTGCTCTCCACAATCTCATAAGCATCTGGACGGAATCCGACCTTAACTAAAATTCGAAATACAAAAAGGAAAAATATAATCAACTTAGTGTACAACCCAGTGGTAACTTTTTTGTTGTGCATCTATGCCCATAAGCCTCTTGCTTGGGCCTCATCAATCATTGTATGTGCTATTTTCCTTATGTCGTGACTAAATTGAAAATTATTGGATCTAAGAGTAGGGGTTTTAACCGAAGCCTTTCGCAACAGGAAAAGTACGTCTCTAAATGGGATTTAGATAAGTCATGACTCATGCACATTTTCTTACCGTCGTTATCAACAATGGAAATTTCTGCCTTTGCAGGATCAACCTTTGACACCTTGGGGTCTTCTGTACTGAGAGTGGCGCAGAAAGTTTCAACATCTTCAAGAACTTTGTCGTCAACGATGCTAACGACTACATCCTTGGAAGTCTCGCCTGCCGCAAAGCTCACTTCAAAGTCTGCTAGTGCAGTGAAATCTTCTGGTGCCTTGGCTGTTAGGTCGCATGTGTTAACACTAGAATTAGGCACAAAAAATGTATAGGATTAGATGAGTTTTAAAAAATTACGTATGTTTTTACTTTGAATGTGTTTCCTCTCTTAAACGGGTCGTCATTCTCTAGAAGATCATGTATTGACAGTATCGTATGAAAAGACAAATTCTTATTTCATTAAAGTCCAAAGGGTAGATTAAGACTGTTTGTTTAACTCGAATGGTCTGGCTAATCCATGATCCAGCATGGGGTACTTACATGGCAGTATTAGGCTCTTTGAGGTAACCTTTTCTGAACACCTTCAAGGTCACTTGACCATCAGTCTCACGAACACTATAAGAAGTGGGATCGAATCCAATTTGAACTGGATTAAAAAAGATAAGAAAATAGAAAAATAATTATTATTTATTTCCTTTTTTTCAAGTTACCATAGCTGTCGCTAAATGCTAACAACAGTCCCCTCCAGGGTTGTCTGCGCCATCTTGAAAGGTAATTCGGTAACGACCTTCCAATGATAGAGACCTTTTCTAACATCTTGGACAATTATTCGCATGTCTCTATCATTGCAAGGTGACAACCGTTTTTGCTTCGATGCACTGACATGGATACCTTTCAAGGTGGCGCAGGCAACTGTGAAGGGAACCGTTCCCATCCATTCATTTGCCTTTCCATTTAACTTTGTTGTCGTTATGATATATCAATTTCCATTTATTCACTACCCAGTTTTCACTTAACAGTCCTTTATTTACCATTTTCTTTACTTACCATCGTCGTCGGTAATTGTTATGGTAGTTGTGTCTGGATTGACTTCTGTTACACTAGGGTCCTCACTACACGACAGTTTGACTTGGAAGTTCTCGCTTTCTTCGAGCTCTTTGTCGTCAATTATGTTCACTGATACAGTCTTCGTTTCCTCTCCAACCTCGAAGATAACATCTAAATCTGCAATAGCATCGAAATCTTTGCCTGCTTCGGCGGAACCAGCAACTGTGTTTAGCCTAAAATATATATATATATATATATTGATTACTGCCAATGTTAATGTTATGGACGTTTGAGGCATTACCTTCGAATTTTTATAAGTTACTTGAAGCAACCTCTGGGCCCATCAAAGTCAGGGCATGGCTAACTCACGGATAGGACCCGGTTGAAGCAACCTCTGGGCCCATCAAAGTCAGGGCA